GTAGTAGTAGTAGTAGTAGTAGTAGTAGTAGTAGTAGTAGTAGTAGTAGTGGTAGTGGTAGTGGTAGTGGTAGTGGTAGTAGTAGTGGTAGTAGTGGAAGGGAGGTGGTGGTGGTAGTAGGGAGGGGGAGGAGGAGCAGGAGGAGGAGGAGCAGGAGGATTAGGAGGAGGAGGATGAGGAGGAGAGGGGGGAAGGAGGAGGAGTTGGAGGAGGAGGAGGAGGAGGAGGAGGAGGGGAGCAGGAGGGGGAGGAGGAGGAGGAGGAGGAGGAGGGGAGGAGGAGGAGGAGGGGGGGAGGCGGAGAGATCGGAGCCCGTGTGAGCACACCGCGTGGTGAGTCGGTGGGGATTCTTTATTTCCGACCTCCTCGTTGGTTCTTTGGGGCTCTTCAGCTTCTGGATGCTTTCCGGCGGCTGCGCCTTGCCGGCCGCCGAGGGCCTTCTGGGTGTGCCTCGATCATCCCGAGCGGCCCCCGGAGACCCGAGTTGTGGCCCGAAAGCCAGGGCCTCTGAGGAGGACCCTCCCTCGCCGATTCGAAGGATCGAGGGTCGAGTTTTGTATCGGTCGCCGTGCTGGGGCGCCTTCTGGGGGCGTCCTCGGCGACACGCCTGGATGCCCGTCGACGTCCTGGCCACAACGCACCCCTGGAGAGGCCTGGGTAACCTCTCCAGATCCCCAGAGGTCGCGTACAAACTACGACGGACAATGCTTTACATTTTCAGCCCGGGGGGGGCCTTGCCGAGCACCTGGGCCGTCGAAGAAGAACTCAGGATGAAGAGAGCCCTCCCCGCGGAATGAGTCTAGACATCCGAGGGCCCACACTGCGAACACATCGCAACGTTTGGGGTCTAGGGAACTCGGGTCGCCATGAAGCACACGGGTCCTGAGGGACACGGGCCCTGATGTTTTTGTCGCTGGTTTTGGCCTGGCCCTTCACGGGCCGTGGGGTTCTCTGAAAACGAATCAGGGCGAAAAGTTGGTCCTGGAGGAAGGTCCCCGGGGTCCAGGACCTATTTCATTCAGGTCCGGCTCTCATCATACTGAGAGGACGCTCAACCGAAGGACGAAGGCGGAGGAAGGAGGAGGGATGAGTTGGAGGTGGATGATGATGATGATGATGATGATGATGATGATGATGATGATGATGATGATGATGCTGATGCTGATGCTGATGCTGATGCTGATGCTGATGCTGATGCTGATGCTGCTGCTGCTGCTGCTGCTGATGATGATGATGATGATGATGATGATGATGATGATGATGATGGTGGTGGTGGTGGTGGTGGTGGTGATGATGATCAGGAGGAGGAGAAGGAGGAGGAGAGGAAGAAGAAGGAACCAGTCAAGGTCGAAGACGTAACTTTGAACGACGAGAGGAACATTGGGCTAAGTACGGACGGTTGAGCCCTTCGCCAGGCCAGCCCCTCTGCGACTCCCATGGGCCTCCTGAAGGTCCCTCGTGGGCACCCTCGGAGCAGATGGGTGCCTGAGGAGGTCCAAGGGACTCGTTGTTTGGAGCGGACACAGGCCTTTGGGCATCGCGAGCAGGTCACGACGTGCGCTCGCCTCTGGGCCTTTCTCGGGCCCTGGGGCCCACAGAGGGCAGCCCGCGGCGGGACGCCGGCTCCGGGGGCATGCTGTCGAGAGCTCTGGTGGCGCACGCCGCTGCAGGGAGAGGCCACGGCGGCGCAGGCCTGGCAGAGACGAGGCGGCCCGGGCAGAGCGGCGCCCCCAGGGAGGCTGCCAGGGAGGCCCGTTGGCCCGCAGATGGCCTCAGGCCAGGCCCACAGGGGCACGGGCCATGCCATCTCCGTCAGCAGCTGCGGCGTCGGCCACTGCACCGACCGCCGCCTTGCGCGACGGCAGTGCGCTGCGCCTCGCGCTGCTCGCGCGCCGTCACCGCGGCCCGGCCGTCGCGGAGGAGGGCTCGGGCCTGCTGCCCGATGCCCCTCCCCTGCCTCCTGGGCCTCCATGGCCTGGTCCTGACCACGGGCTCCTGTCCAGACCGAGCACCTCGGTGCTGCGGGCCCATCCGCCCCGCTTGGTGGGGGTTGGGGAGACGACTTGCCGGAGCGGAGCCCGCCCGACCCTTCCAGGACGGCGCGATGGGGTGGGAGGCGGGAAGGCCCGTAGCGCCTCGGCACCGTGGGTCCATCAGCCACCTTGGTCGGGACAGCCTCGCCCGAAGCCGCGGCCGTGCGGCTGACAGTCCCGTGCGGCGCACTGCCGGAGCGCAGCGTGCACAGCAGGGGGGAGCTTAAGACCTGCCCGTGTCACCTTTTTCTGTGAAAGAGCTGAGGAACAAGGTGGACGCACGGGTCGGGATGGTTGGGGGAGGTCAGACAGGGGGCTCGGAGTTGTGGGGGAGCGATGGCCCCCCCCGGCCCTGCCCGCGGCAGCAGCCCGACGCCCGACGCCCCCGACGCCCCCGAAGCCCTGGAAGCCCCCGAAGCCCGAGGCCCGACGCCCGAGCCCGACGCCAGAGCACGAGCCCCGGCCCGAGCCCGCGCCGGAGCCACGCCTGCGGGGCTCGCCGAGTCGCAGGCGCGCCGTCGGACAGGCGCCCGCCGAAGCGGGCCCCGCCCCGGGCCTGCGGCAGGGGGGCGGGCGGGCGGGCCAGCGCGCGGAGCGACCCCGCCTGCTGCCGGGCTGGGCGCGGGGCGGCCCCAGCCCCAAGGGACGGCCGGCGAGCTGCTGCCCCAGAGATGCAGCGCATTGAAAAAATCAAGACGGAGTTTTTTCTCAAATTTCGGCCCCCAGGGGCCCTCGCTGGGCCTCGGGGCCGTCCAAAAACGACTCAGGATGAAAAACTGGTCCTGGGGAATGGGTCAAGACTTCGGGGGACCGTGTATTGAAAAAATCACGACATCGGATCTCTTGGGCGGCTGGGAGGAGGGGATGGGGAGGAAGCAGTGAGTCGGAGGTTTTCTGGGATTGCATTTGCGGGCCGCCTCTGCCGACGTCTGCGCTGGAGGAGTCGAGGATGCATTGCACTCGTCGCCTGGGCCCGCCCGAGCCCAGGCTGTCTGACGCTTCGGGCCCTCGAGGTCGAATAGCTTGCCTGAGAAAGGAAGCAGTGTGTGTGTGTGTGTGTGTGTGTGTGTCTGTTTACACTGCGAGTGACCCGGTCGATCTGGCGGATCCGTGGTCCCCCCGCCGCGTGAGCTGGCCCGGCCGCGTGCTTTCTCCCGCTCGACTGCCCACGCCCCGCGACGGTAACGCCCAGACATAAAGTGTGTGTGTGTGTGTGCGTGTGTTCTCTAAGCCCTCGGCCCGTGCGCCCGCGGCCAGCGATCTACTGACGGCGTGAGGCTCGTTTCGCCCAGCCGTTACGTTGCTCTGCTGCGACCAGCGCATCGCAGAGCGCATGTTCGCCGAGGAGCGCGTGCGTGTGGGGGGGGCATCAGCCCACCCAAACCTCCATGGCCAGAGTGCGCCGCCCTCATCCGAAGAAGGAACATCAGAGACATACAATTGTTTGGCGCTCCGCCCAGATTTCTTGGATCTGCGCTGGAGCGCCCTGGCGGCGCCTACGGCGCCGCCCCTGGCGCGCTCCGCGCGCCAGGGAGGGAGGTCCAGCTCAGATCCAAGACATCTGCGCGGACCGCCCACATTTTACGTTTGTGCCGGTATTCGTTCTTCTACTCGCCCCTTCCTCCTCCGCGGCTGTCCTCCTCTGTCCCCCCCGGCTGTCCAGCGCGCAGTCCGCCCAGGGCCCCGGGACATCCCAGATCGATCTGGCGCGAAAAATGATGCAGGAAGATGAGGTCCAGGGCTCTGGCAGTGATTTTATGCGATGCGGCATTTTGTGTTGCAACGTCGGATCTCAGGGTATAGGAGAGGGGGGATGGCGTCTCAGAAACACCCCTGCTTCTTCGAAGGCGCGGGCCTTGTCTGCAGCTGTAGGGCCGCTTCCTTCCATCAGAAGCCGCCTCCCTCCGAGAAGCCTTCTCTCTCTCCCCTCCCCCATACAGCCCCCTGAGGTGCGCGCCGCTAGGGAGGAGGGAGGCGGGAGGGGCTGGGGGATCGCAGGGGTCAGGGACGGGCAGGGCTGCGGCAGGCGCGCGACGCACCCGCTCCCCCTCTCCCCCGCGGCAGGGCCAGCCTGCCGAGGAGCCCGCGGCCTCCTGCGAGGCCTCCGGCGGCGCCGCGGGGGCCGCCGGCGCGGGCCTCTGCCCCGAGGACGGCCCCGCGGCAGAGCTGGTGCCTCCGCTGCGGCTGCGCGTGCGGAAGTACGAGGGCTCCAAGGCCGGGGCGCGCGCGGAATAGGGGGCTCTCGGCGCCAGCGGGGCTCCGCCGGAGCCCCGTGGTCTTGCAGGGGCCAGCCCAGATCATCCGGTACCGGGTTTTTTCGGTAGCGTTAGCAAAAATCGGTAGCACTAAAAACCACACGCAATTTCGGTAGCGACCGACCTTAACGCTACCGATTTTTTTCGGTAGCGTTAGCATCGAAAAATCGGTAGCGTTAGCAGCGAAAATCGGTAGCGTTAGCATCAAAATCGGTAGCGTTAGCGACCAAATTGACGCAAACGTTTGTCACATAAATGCGCATGGGTCGAGCACTGCGCAACAACGCGTTTGCAAACGTTTGCAAACGTTTCCCTTACACGAGCTTACCATGACTCGATGTTTGATTATGATGAAGATTATGATGAGACCACCGAATGAGGTAAGGAGGAGGAGTGATGTGAGATGGGGTGGTGGGTAGCCTCTCTGGAAGGTCGGCCCATCAAGGGGGGGGGCTCTCGAATCGGTCCACTAACGCCCGCGAGCGGGTCGGACCTCAGAAGCCTGATCACTTCAGATTGGCGAACTTCGACATCAAACAGATCTGGGGGGGTGGATTCGGTTTTGAATCGGTGGACGCACGAGTTTTGCATCGGCCCTCTCCCCTCCCCCCCTTCTCCCTTCGGCCCCCCAGTCAAACGTTTCCCCCCTGGAGGGCCGAGGGGAGGGCTGGAGGGAGGATGGTGGGAGGAGGAGGGGGAGGGTAGGGCTGAGGGGAGGAGGGGGGGAGGGGAGAGGGCCGATGCAGAGTTCATGCGCCTACCGATCCAAAACAAAATCCTGCCTGCATCGCGCTGGCGTGTGGCTCTCTCCTCCCTCATTTTCTTGAGCTCATCCTCCTTCTCCTCGCGCAGTTTCTGCAAGGCCGTGTCCGTTTTCTGACAGAGCGTTTTGTGTCGGGTTTCCCAATCGTCGGGCTTGCTGTCGGGCGTGATGTCGGGCTTGCTGTCGGGCTTGTTATCGGGCTTGTGGGGCTGACTGTCGGGCTGCTCACCGTCAATCAAAAACACCTCTTATTCCGTCATTTCTACATGTGCCGCCGTTTGAGAGATACTATCGCGTGCTCTCGGGTGCCGTGGATTCTCGAGTGCAAGGGTGGCCCGTCGCCGATAATGACGACATGGGTGGCGACATGGTGGGCAGCGCCCACTTTGAACACATTTACACATGTTTGCAAGCGTTCGCAAAGCATGCAAACGTTTGCAAACGTTTGCAAACGTTCGCAACCGTTTGCAAACGTTTGCAAACGTTTGCAAACGTTTGCAAACGTTTGCAAACGTGACAACGGTGATAAACGCTTGCAAACGTGTCGGCGTCCAGGGGTCACCGCGCTGTCTCCGATCGCGTTCTACCAATGATCCCGCGGCGCATCCAGCTGTGGCAACGGCGATACACGTTTGCAAACGTGCTTGCCCCCTGGGGTCATAGCGTTGTCTCCGATCGCGTTCTACCAAGGATCACGAGGCGAATCCAGCTGTGGCAACGGCGATAACCGTTTGCAAACGTGTCGGGTCCCAGGGATCAGTGCGTTGTCTCCGATCGCGTTCGACCAAGGATCCCGAGGTGCATCCAGCTGTGGCAACGGCGATCAACCCAACTCTAAACAAAGCATGTTGTGTTCTCCATACGTTGCCTACGCTTCCGACAGGGGTGGGGAGACACTGGAGAGCAGATGACGATGGATGGAACAGTTTTCTTCAAACGTTTGCAAACGTTTGCAAACGTTTGGTCGTATCCAGGCTACTGCGGTTTTACTGAGTGGTATCGCTCAGAGTTTCAGAGCGCATCCAGCCGTGGCAACTATAAAAAATCCTTCCAAAGGGAACGGGTGTACCAGAATTTCAGAGCGCATCCAGCCGCGGCAACGATGACCATCCCCAAAACGGCCAAGGGTCAAACACACCGCATGAGCAATTGAATCTCCAGGGTGGTATCGTTCAGAATGTCGGGTCGCATCCAGCCGTGGCAACTATACAATTCCTCCCAAAGGGAAAGGGTGTATCAGAATTTCAGAGCGCAACCAGCCGCGGCAACGATAACCTTCCCCAAAAAGGCCAAGGGTCAACTACAACGCATGATCAATTGAATATTCAGGGTGGTATCATTCAGAATTTCGAGTCGCATCCAGCCGCGGCAACGATGATTTTCCCCAAAAGGGCCAAACGTCAAATACACACTATGATCCAACCCACGCCATCGTTGCACGATGTTTCCGCAGACAATGCAGAGCCGCGGCGTTCTTGGACTCCAGCCCAGAACGGAACGTCAACAGAGCACAACGACTCGAACAGAGTCGACCGCGGCACAGCACATCATCGAGACGTGCCGAAAACTTAGAACGAGCCTGCCCTGGCGCCAGCCAAGAACTTAGAAGCGAGAACGGGCCTGCCTGCTCAGCACTTGGATTCCCAGAGTCTCTTGCCCCCTCCTGCTCGTTTCTCTCTTCCTCCTCCGTATCCTCCTCCCCCCTCCTCGTCTCCATCCTCCTCATCATCAGGTAGCGTTTCCCCTCATCCTCTTACTCCTCCCATCAGTTTGCTCATTCATCATATCATCATTACTGATTCCAGCGCTGAGCCAGCTTAAATCACACATCGAGGCCTCGGTCGAGCTCGAAAAATCGACCGATGCGCCACCGTTCGCAGACTTTCTGCGATAGGAGTAAAGTTGGGCTGCCCATAAGACTGGCTGCTCCGACTCTGACAATGTGCCTCATGAAATCTTCCGACATGTAGCACCACTGGTATGCTGGATTGGTAAATGCCGCCCCCTGGGCGATGTGGTAAAACATGTGGTGTTTGTTCACCAATGAATATTTCTTCTTATTGTCGTCAAGGGCACATTGGGCCAATGCCGAATAATACAACAACGAGTGCTCCACGACTCGGACAATTTCGCTGGCTGCCTCAGGCGTGAGATACATGCCACTAGTGTCAATCAAGTCATAATATCTAGCTATGCACTTGAGGCATAAAGTTCGCATCTTCCGCATATCACGAATCTTGTCGGTTTCCCCGCCCTCCCACTTGGCCGAAATATTGACAAACACTGGGATCAGCCATCTCTGTTGCGACGCTTTCAACGATTTGCTGAGGCACGGGTATTCAGAGTGCGGAGCATCAGGCTTTGGGGTAAACATTTTTCGCCCAAACTTAGTGGTGCGATGAGGGATGTTTAAAGCTTTGTACTGAGCCTGGATTTCTTTCCACAGCTCCTGAGTCGCGACCATCGCTGATTTGCCAGACTGTTCGTAGACAATTTCGTAGCACACGTTAGCGACCAGATGCGACACGACTCCGAGGTCGACGACGTGCATGCTGTCGAGGGCCAAGCTGTACCCCGACACCCCCCACACATCGAAAAGGGGGTGTGTAAAGCGATAAGGTGGGTCACGAGGCGTGTTCATCCAGTGGTTTCTCCGCTTGTCCTTGTGGAAGCAATTCCACGGCATGTCGCCATCGTCACGATTTGCTGCGCACAACCAGCACATCTCCTCACACGCAGGCGCCGGAGTGCCAAGGTGCTGCGAAAAAAACTCCATGTCGCCAAGGACGCTGTGAATCCATGCCCGATATGGGAGCGTCCTGGAACATAAATGTGTGCCAGCCAAATCAGCTCTACGAGATCCTTCTGGAAACTCCTGACCGTTCCAATCCAACTCCCGCATTGCATGCGGGGCGAAGCTTGTGCGAACAATCACCTCATCATCATCATCATCACCATCATCATCACCATCATCATCACCATCATCATCACCATCATCATCAGCATCCTCCTCCTCATCATCATCATCATCATAATCATCATCATCGTCATCATCATCATCATCATCATCCTCAGCATCACCATCATCATCATCGTTATCCTCAACATACTTATTCCGTACACATCCCTCCGAACATCGTTCTTCAATTCGAAGGGCCACTCTTGCATACGTGTCCCCTATCCCTTATGTACTAATCGGCGGATTGGCGGTCTGCCGTGATATCATGTGTAGGATGCGTGCCTGCTGCTAATGCGTTCAGTGACCATTTAATGACCCTCCAGATGCCCCTCCAAGTGTCAACGCCGTGCTCGTGTTGCTTGGCAGTGGCAGACAGTGGCCAACTCGAAACATAAAAGGACAGAGCTCGCGTCGACCCAACAGCCAGCAGCGACGTAAAACTTACAGCTGTCATTGAATCGTTGGTTTGAAATTCTGCCCCGTCCCCATGTATGCGCAATGGTAGGCACCATTTCTTAAAATCTCGTACTCTCCATACGGGGTGCCCGTTTAATCGAGGATCGCGCCTTCTGGCGCCAGACAATCTTTAAACAAAGCCAACAATGCAAATGAGGCCAGTGGAACCAGGATGCAATGCCCTCGGGAGCGCAAATCGTCAACAATCTGTTGATTGAAACGACATACCCAAGGGCAAGGGTAGGTATCGGTTTGAAACGGCCCCATTCGAAACGTTGACTTTGTTTACGACATCTCTCTCACCCACTTCCGCGTCCTCCTCCTGCTCCTCTGCCCCCCTGTCGGAACTCTCTCTATCCTCCGTTTGGCACCCCGCTCCTCCAAATCCTCATCATGATCCCCCAAATCCCGAATCCCCGTGGGAAGTTGTTCCTCCAATAGCCTCGATGCGCCCCGCCAGAACATATCGAGATGCTCGGTGCCGAACAGCTCATGGAACTGATCTGGGTGGTTATGGAAGAGCGACGCGAACATGTCGCGTGGACATATAATAGCACAGTCAGCATACAACACTTCCAGGGTACGCGGGGCTCTGCAACCTATCTTGACAGTTTCAGGCAGTGGGAAATCGTTGTCTTTTAGATATTTCTTTGTCAGGTCCCTGTGGATGTTGCCTGGGGAAGACCCCCAGGCGCCCAACTGTGCTAGAACACGTATCTCTGAAATCTGCAATCCATCGCGAAATGCTTTGCAACAGTAGCGTTGGACATCAGTTGCTTGT